ATTCTCTCTTATGGAGTAGTCCTAAATTACAGTTACAAAGAAAATAAATGTAGCTCTTACTCCTCATTAAAAAGGCTTCTTTTTTACAACAGATGGTAACTATTACAGAGATCTATCACTGGTCAAAATGAAGAGAACAACTGGTCCTCAGTTGATACTTAACCAAGTAAAACAACTATAACATAACATCTACACCTACGGTTTAGGGAGCTACAAGAAAAAATTAAAAGGGCAGAAATAAATGAAAGCTAGATTAAGATGCCTAAATCTAGATAATGTCTAGACAGGTAGATAATGTCTTCTAAATATGACAGGAAAATTGTAGCTATAAAAATATTGAAAATATAGTTACCGGAAAGCACTTTATAACAGCACAAATTTACATGCCAATGATTCAACTTTCACAGAGGGGCAACTTTCACAAGGTCTTACCACTCCTATATAGAGAGCTAGAGTCATTAACTCTTGGTCAAAAAAGTAAAATCAGTTTCTCCAGGAACATAGTTCCTCATAGGTTATCCAGTCAAAGGCTCAGCTTAAATTCACACACACACACACATACACACACACACACACACACACACACACACACACACACACACACAGATGCACACACATGCCCATGGGCACAACACTAAATGGACCCAGTAAGGTCTGTGTGTGTAACGATATTTATAGAAAAAAAAATGGTCATAAAACTGAGGAGTGTGGGAGACATGAAAAAGGAGATGGGAGAGTAATGATATAAACAACATATACGAATTTCTCAAAAATTAAAAACATTAAGTTAAAAAAGCAAACACTATAACTCTACAGCAGCAAGAGATGCTACCCAACATTGCTTTTAAGGTGTTATCAGTTTACAAGAAAAGTGTGGGAGAAGAAAACACTGTAATCACACACACACACACACACACACACACACACACATGCTTGCGCATGCACACACACATAAACACACAAACCCTCCCAGAAATGATTTTTGTCATCATGATCAACTAAAAGTAAGCAGGCTTCTCCTGAATCTCTAGAAACATCTTCCCATATTTAATTAAATGCTTAGAAAGTATAAAGAAAGAATGCAATCATGGGATTTTCCAATTGAACATTATAAGTTAACTGGTTCTACATGCTTCAACTTTTCCGCTAAACACCATATTTTCTACAAATCAAACCTTCAACATCTGCTCCACAGAAACTAGACCAGTACAAAAATCAGAAGAAGCAAGATAAAGATTTACATGGTTATGATCTTTGATTGTCCACAGGAAGTCATGGTGCAAAAAAACTACTTATAAAATGCACCAGAGTTAAACATAACCAATGCATTTCTACTAGTAAATAGAAATACATCAAAGACTTGGGCATAGCCATTTAAAAAGACCCACTGCTGTATAGCTACACTTATTTGATAACTACAATGATAATTGCTCACACATTTATTTCACACAACCTCTCCACAGCTACAACCTGTAGGGATTAATTACAAAGGTCCAGGAGCAATAATATACAGCTAATTTCCTTAAGCAATAAAAGACAGAATTTCTCAACTGAAGCCAATGAAACAGAAACAGATTGTTATTAATGCTGAAATCTTGATGCAGAGTCATGGTGCTGCCATTACAGAACCTATTAAATACCACGAATCAGAGAAACCATCAGCCTGTCTTCACAGGAGAAAATGCTATTCTTGCCTGAACTCTTCAGGAATTTATAGTTTTTTTTTTCCTTTCAAAGCATAATTTTATTGATTTAAATTTATCCCCTCTTGCCTCTAGTTTTACAAAATTTCTCAAAAGTGTTAACTGAAATGAAATAAAATCTTCTAGTTTGAAAATGTTCTTTTTCTCCTGGTGATTTAAACCTCTCAACTAAATATGGACTGTTTATATTTTTAGACCAGTAATCTCTGTATTTTATGATGACTCAAAAGATTTCAAAATTTCTTTATGCTATGGGTATGGGACTCTGATTTTGCGTAGGTGGTTTGTGTGAAGAAAAAAATTCAGAATGGATAACCTCATTCTTTTCAGTAAAATACCGATTTTCCATATACAACTCTGTGTTTGAGTATGAACAAAATTATATTTAAGCTATATTTTAATAAGTCATTACAATTAAATATAATAGAGAAGTTCCACAATTAAATGACAAGGATCAAAGAAAAGTGAAGGTTACAAAGTTACTAGTATCAACAAATGATGCTGTTCAATCTGGAATGCTTCATGTAGAAGAATGCAAATAAAACCATACTTATCACCCTGTACATTACTTCACTCCAAATATATCAAAGGCCTCAACATAAAACCACATGCACTGAACCTGATATAAGCACAAGTAAGCAGTAGCCTTGAACTCATTGGCACAAAAAAGTCTTGCTAAACAGAACAACATTATAACAGGCACTGAGATCAATAATGAATAGAACCTCGTGAATCTAAAAAGATTCTGTAAGACAAAAGACACCATCATTTGGACAAAGTAGCAGGCTACACGGGAAAAGAGTTTTACCAAGTACCTATCAAGTAGAGGACTAATATATAAAATACATACAGAACTTTAAAAAACTGTATATCAAGAATGCAAAGAACCCAATTTTAAAATGATGTTAAGGTATAAACAGAGAAATTTCAAAAGAGAAAACACAAATGGCTCAGAAGCACCTAAATAAGTGTTTGATATCCTTAGTCATCTGTGAATTGTAAATCAAAACTACTTTTAAATTTCATCTATCACCTACCAGAATTACTAAGATCAATAAAACAAGAAACAACTCAGGCTGACTAGTCTGTGATGTAAGAAGACTAATCCTACTCTACTGGTTGGAGTGCAAACCTGTATAACCTCTATGGTTGTGTGGTGATTCCTCAGGAAACTGAGAATGGATCTGTCTCAAGATCAATCTATAACACACTTTGCTGTATACCTAAAAGATGTTTCATTCTACAATGGAGATATTTGCTCAGTCATGTTCATTGCTGCTCTATTCATAATAGCCAGAACCTGGAATCAGCCTAGATGTATGTCAAAAGCTGAATGGATAATGAAAATATGGTACATTTACACAATGGGATATTAACTCAGCTATTTAAAAAATAAAATCATACACTTCCCAGGTAAATGGATAGAGTTGGAAAAGAATCATCCTGAGTTAGGTAACCCAGATCCAAAAAGATAAATATGGTACGCTTTTACCTATACATTGATGTTTGCTTTTAAGTCTTATATATAAGCAAGCCAAAATCTATATAACCAAAAAGTTTAAGTAAGGGACTTGTGAGGCATCTTCTATCACCCAAGGTAGAGGAAAATGGAATGGATAAATATTGTTGGACATGGCAGGGAGGGGACCTGGAACCAACAGATCACAAGATGAAGAAAGGGAGTACAGGGAAGGCCAGCAAAAAATAAGGGCCATTTTAAGTCATATGGAAACGTATGGTAGACGTTTCCTAAAATATATATGTATATAAAGGTGATCTAAATGAAATTTCCAGATAATGGGAGCAATAGAGCCCCACCCACATACACATCAACAAATGAAACTTCCAGTACCAGGAATGAGGTAAGTTTAATCTAGTTGTTGGCCGAAAGAACCCAGTTGGAACTTCCAAATAAACAACACTGTAGACAAGGCTATTTGCTGCTCTCCACAAACTGACCACAAGGCCGTATTGCCAAAGACAACACATACAGAACTCATTAAACATAAACTCATAAATTATAGAAACATCAATCCAGTCTACCAAGAACCTTCTCCTTTACAGAGTCGTGTTCATGGTACTGGATGGTACTCTGCATGCTACCAAAGAAGAAAGATAAACAACACAATTATAAACTGTTCAATCTACATTGGTGACCAACATGCAAAATGTACTAGTGCAATAATGGATTAAAACATGTAGGAGAAAACAATCAATATTTGACTGGATTAAAGATACACTCTAAGACATGGAACCCATCCCTGACACTGCTTGGCTGGCCAAGAACCTGAGACTAGATGAGAAAGTGGCCTAGGGGAACACCAAATGCTACTGTTCTGCTAAGGGAGTATTGCAATAAAATTGCTACTTCCAACATAGTGCTATATTCAAAAATCAATGTCTTATAGCCAAACTTTGGGCAGATGCATGAAAACTTATGAAATAAGGGGGAGACAGAAACACCTGGAGGGAACAGGAGCTCCACAAGGAGAGCAACAGAAACAAAAAATCTGAATAAAGGGGTCTTTTCTGAGACTGATACTCCAACCAAGGAGTATGCATGGGATAAGCTAGAACCCCTGCACAGATGTAGCCCATGGCAGCTCATTCTCCAAGTGGGTGCCCTAGTAAGAAGAAAAGAGACTGTCTCTGACATGAACTCATGAGCTGGCTCTTTGATCACTTCCTCCTGAGGAGGAGGCAGCATTACCAGGCCACAGAGGAAGACAATGCAGCCAGTCCTGATGAAACCTGATAAGCTATGGTCAGATGGTAGTTCTGCAACTGAGCAAATTTGCCCAATAAACCTGGAATGTGTGCTGTTCTGTTTATTTTACAAATGGTGGAGTAAGAAGTATGGCTTTAATCTGGAATATGGCACTGTTTTTCAGACAGGGAGTGCAATAGCTAATATTAAAGAATTAGAACAAAATTGCACAACAAAACAGACAAAATGGAGTAGGCACAATGGCTAAGGAAGAAGAATGGTGTGTATTTAAGGTCGACTTGTGTTATGAAGAGAAACCTTATGTCACACACAGACACACATATACAGACACACACAGACATAGACACACACACATAAACAGATTTCTAAATGTTTATGAAATGGAAATCTGGAGTTATAACCTGCAATAATTTTCTAGTTTGAGTATAAATGTTATCAACAAGCTAAAGGCCTTTTCCAGCGTAACTATAATAATCAAACACATAAAATGTTCTCTGCTCATTTTACATCGTCCCTTCCATGCTATTATAAAACAGTGTCACCTTTTGGCTACTGCTGAAGACACTCACCTGTGGTAGAGTTAAGGTCATCTGGCTCTGACTCAGTCCCATTTTGGCTTCCATTTCCCTGAAGAGTATTCATTGCCATAAGCTTCATCTTCTGGAGCTTCATTGCCTCAGCCATTGCTGCAGCTGTTATACCTAAACCATAACCATCAATTAAAAAATAGTAATTTTTTCTTAATGGCATATAAACATATGTAGTTATTTAAAAAGAATATTCAGAGTGTACAAGCAGAAAGGTAAAGTACAAGTAACCATTAAAATAATGAATATTTCAAAATATATTTTCAACTCATAATAAGTTCTTATAACAAATAGCATAAAATCTTATCTTAAAGATTATACATGGGCCTTATCCTCAGTTAAAATCACAAAGAAACAATTAAGTAAGTTGTTCAGTTTATTTATTTTTTTTGGGGGGGTGGGAATGGGCTGAAATTTTGAGACATGGTTTCTCTGTGTATCCTTGGCTGTCCTGGACTCACTTTGTAGATCAGGTTAGCCTCAAACTCACAGAGATCTGCCTGGATATGCCTTCCCGCATGCTGGGATTACAGACATTTTCCACCATGCCCAACACCTTTATTTATTTTTTAAGTACAGGAATAATTAACAGCAAAAAAGGAAAGTAGTCCAAAACTTAAAAAACTGTGTGTGTATAAAATGAAATTAAGAATATTTGTGAAAAAGATTCCTCATATACTTTCATATTCTACACAAAATGAAAAGTTACAATATTTATTTGTCTAAACAAACAACATCTGTATTCTGTGCAAGCAAGTAACAGTGAGTAATGCAGAACTTAAGTTCACACTGCTAAAGAATCATGTCATAATAATGCTACAAAGAAACAGAGACGATATCAAAGTCAAATTCTTCAGGTAACAACAAGAAAAGAGTAAACTTTTATTGTTCAGTTATATGCAAAGATACATGGCTGGCAAAGGGCCACATTATTTAGTGGAAACTATTTGCATTCAAGTTTCAAAATAGCTCCAATGTAAACTAATGAAAATCATTAAAGAGTAAGTTCTCTTACCATATCAGTCATACATTGTAGTTTCCATTTTACAGCTCCTTCCATTTGACTCAAGTTTAGAGACTTAACCTATATCTCCTATGCTCTAGAATAGCTCATGGTCTACATTACAATGACTTTACACACATAAATTGTGAAATCTTGTTGAGTCTCCAAATCTTGTTAAAGAATAAATGTGACTTCAAGTAGAAACAGAGTCAAGAATAATGTTATAATTTATAACATTATTTATAAAATGTTATAATTTTTTGAAAACATCATAGTAAATTGCTTTTCTCTTCAACTGTCAAATTAATGTTTTCACGTGGGGGTACATTCTCAACTTCATATGGAAAAACAAACAAACAGAAAAGCAGAATTCCTAAGACAATCCTGTACAATAAAAGTTATTCTGGAAATATTTTCATCCCTGATCTCAAGATATATTATAGAGCAACAATAATAAAAACAACATGGCACTGGCCCAGAAACAAGAGTAATAGATAACTGGAATAAAATAAAAAATCCAGAAATTAATCCACACAACTGTGAACTACTTATTTTTGACAAAGAATCCAAAATCATGCAACAGAAAAAAAAAGACAACATATTCAACAAATGGTGCTGGTCTAACTGGGTGTCTACATGTAGAAAAATGCAAATAGACCTATATTTATCACCCTGTACAAAGTTAAAAGCCATGTGGATCAAAGACCTCAGCATAAAACCAGACAAATTAAATCTGTTGGAAGAAAGAGCAGAGAAGACCCTGAATGCATTGGCATAGGAGACAACTTCCTGAACAGAACAACAACACAGGCTCTAAGATTAACAGTTAGTAAATGAGACTTCATGAAACTGAAAAGATTTAGATACAAGATGAGGCACAGACTACACAGGTTATCTGAACAGCAGCTCATCAGTGAAGCAGAATGACCAGCAGGCTGTACTGTGGACCCCAAAATCCCAACATCTGGATTTCTCAGGTGAGAGTAGAATCCATGGGGATATTTGAAAGTCCATCTTCAGGCCACTGGGATAATACTCAGAAAAAAATTACTGTGCTTCTACCTAGCAATGCCACAGCCTTCCTAAGATCAGGGCTCCTACCTTGCAGCCTTAGGCCACCCACCTGCCAAAACCCATCATCTGTGGATACCTGTGTGGGATCAACAATGGTGGCTCAAGCATGGCTCTGACCCCACAGGCTTAGGCAGAACTGCTTCCCATTCCATTGTGGATAACTTCGTGGAACCTGGGGTGCTCAATCTTACTACCTGGGGAGTGAATAACTTCCTGTACTAAGGTGAGATTCCAAACCTGGGTGACCACTCTGACAGTGCTGTGGACACCTTCTGGGTACTAGCAGCTCCTGTTTCCACACCTGAGAGACCACACTCAAAATCCTGTGGACACATTCCTGATTGCAGGAGCTAGTAGTAGTCACTCTCAATCCCCTGTAGAGGTGGGGGAGATAGGAATCCATTCTGCCTAGTCCCCATCTGCCTGCCTCACCCAGGTCAGAATCAGGCAGCACAGCACAGACAGTGAGCACAGTGGAGCTGAGATAGGCTTGGGACCCAGATTCCATCCCCCACTATCTTTTTAATTATTTTTTAAATTTTTATAATAATTACAGTTTATTCATTTTGTATCCCAGCTGTAACCCCCTCTCTCATTCCTTACCAATCTCACTCTCCCTTCCTCATCTCCTCCCAGGCCCCTCTTCAAGTCCACTGATAGTGGAGGACTTCCTCCCTTTCTATCTGACCCTAACTTATCAGGTCTCATCAGGACTGGCTTCGTTGTCCTCCTCTGTGGCCAGGCAAGGCTGTTCACCTCTCAGAAGTTGGTGAGCAAAGAGCCAACCATTAAGTTCATGTCAGAGACATTCCCTGTTCCTCTTACTAGTGACCCACTTGGATACTGAGCTGCCAGGGGCTACATCTGAACAGGAGTCTGTAGGTTATATCTATAAATGGTCCTTGGTTGGAGTATCATTCTCAGAAAAGACCCTTGTGTCCATATTTTTTGGTTCTGTTGCTCTCCTTCTGGAGCTCCAGTCCCCTCCTGGTCTTATTATCCCCCCCTTCTTTCCTAAGATCCCTTGCACTGTGCCCAGAGTTTGGTTATGTGTCTCAGTATCTGCTTTGTTACACTGCTGGGGAGAGTCTTTCAAATGCCCTCTGTGGTACCTTGTTTCCTGTTTTCTCCTTCTTCCAGTCTCCATCCTGTTTGTCTTTCTGAATGTGGATTGACCATCTTACCCAGGGTCCTACTTCTAGTACAGCTTCTTTAGATGTATGGATTTCAGTATGTTTATCTTATATTATATGCCTAATATTTACCTATAATTCAGTATATACCATGTGTGTCATTCTGATCCTTGGAGCTTTCTCAGACATTTAGGAGTAGCTCTTCCTCAAGATCCAGATATACCATTCCTAGGCATATATCCAAAATATGCTCAAGTACACAACAAGGACATTTGCTCAACCATGTTTGTAGCAGCTTTATTTGTAATAGCCAGAACCTGGAAACAAATCAGATGTCCCTCAACTGAAGAATGGATTCAGCAATTGTGGTACACAATTAAATACTACTCAGCAATTAAAAACAAGAAAATCATGAAATTTGCAGGCAATTTGTTGGGATCTAGAAAAGATCATCCTGAGTGAAGCATCCCACGCCATCTTAAGGAAACCTGTGGAGCACTGGAGCAGCTCTAGGCACAGAGATCTATCTGCTAATGCCTCAGCCTGGCTCACATAGGCCAGAAACAGTGAGCCTAGTACAAAAAACTCAGCAGAGTAGAGGCAGGCATCTAATCCAAGTTCCATTGTCTTCCTCCCCAATGAGGCCTGTAGGGCACTGGAGCAGCTTTAGGCATGGAGATCTTTCTGCCTGATCTCCAGCAGCATAGCCTACCTGGGTCCAAAATGACTCAGCCAGCACAGCCAGTGAATCCAGCAGAGTTTGAGCCAGGCCTGGGACCCAAATTCTATCCTTCACTAACTTAAGGAAGCCTGTGGGTCCTGGAGCAACTCTAGACTCAGATCTTTCTGCCTGTGCCTTAGCAGCCTGTCATACCTCAGTCACAAACAGTGAGCCAGCAGAGAGTGAATCCAGGGAAGACTACTTGAGACTCCAGAGACAGGTGGATATAGTCTGCAGTAAGAGGTTCCAGGAATACTCAGAAAAGGTACAGACAAACAGATGGCTAGAAGCTTCTGTAAGAATAGAGGTAACAAAAACCAGGATGTCATGGCTTCACCAAAATCTCGAAAAATAAACAAAGATTCTATTGCAGATGAAACACAGGATAAGTATCTTAAGTCTATAATTATGCAGTTATTTGGGGCACATAAGGAGAAAACAAACAAACAACAACAACAACAAAAATAGAGGCCATCAAGGACAGACAGGAATCCACATTGAAACAAATGAAAGATATGGTGCAAGACATTAAAACAGAATTAGTCAGAATCAATAAAGAAAACAAAAACAGGAAAAACCCTGGAGCTGGAGAACTTAGAGAAGAGATCAGGAACCACAAAAGTAAGTATCACCTACAGAATACAAGAGATGGAATAGAGAGAAGGTACAAACTGCAGAAATTGATACATCTCACAAAGAAAAAATAAAATTGAAAAAAAAATTATAAACACAAAACAGCCAAGAAATCAAAGACACCATGAAAAGACGAAATCTAAGAATAATAGGAATAAATGAAAAAGAAGATGCCAGGATCTAAGGCCCAAAAATATTTTCGAGAAAATCAAAGAAGAACATTTTTCCAACCTTAGGAAAGGGATGCCCATACACATACAAGAGACCCACAGAACATCAAATTGACTAGACTGGAAAAGGAACTCTTCTTGCCACATAATAATCAAAACACTAAATCTACAGAATGAAAAAAAATATTAAAAGTGGCAAGGGAAAAAAGGCCAAGTAATATATAAAGGCAGACCTATCAAAATCACACCAGACTTCTCAACAGATACTATGAAAGTCAGAAGAGCCTGGGTGGATATCATGGAGATGCTTACAGATCAAAGATGCCAACCAAGACAACTATATACAGCAAAACATTTAATCCATATAGATGGCGAAAACA